TTGTATTTCTTTCAATTGTAATTGATAACATTGTTAATTCCCCGGCAACGGCGCCAAAATTTAATCATGCCCAACTATGCCTTATAAAAAGGACACACGGACGTTGCAAATATAATCTGAGTATTTCGCCCAGAGTCGAACCCATAAGGAATTAATTTATTAATTACTCTCATTAGACTTACTAAATTATATGGAATCAACTTCACAAACGTTCTGAATAACAATTGAAGATATTTCTACTAACTAAGAATGACTGTAAATAAGCAACTGAAAACTAGCTATGATTAAGTTTTAAACAATTAAGAGAAGGTTCTAAGGTTATGATTTCCCTTATTGATGGAATCCCTTTCGGTTATGGTTCACATAGATTAACCTAATTGTCTCTATCAATCATGAGCACTCTTATTACCATGAATCTCTCCCGAGTAATCACAATAATTTACTAGACGCACTCTCCCGAGATACGCTAGCTGGTTTTGTCTATTACAGCTCACTTTTGACTGCACCCAAGGCTTCGTTATCCCTAATCCCGCCTTTAAACCCTCAGTTATTGATCCGTCATATACTTTGGGAGTGATGTTGTTCAACAATTACCTAAATATGCACTCTCTTCTGAGTTATGCACACTAAATAGGCACAACTAATTGAGGATCCTATCAATTAACTACAACAAGAACGTAAATGAACAAATAGAGATTAAACCAGGCAATCTATATTAACATAACAAGAAGTTCATCCTTCAATAGGTTCCATCAAAACCTTAGACTAAATATTTAGCTAATTATACTAGGGTTCATCATAACAATATTCAAATTCATCACAAATCGTAAAAACAAAAGGAAGAAAGGAAGAACTCGATGTTGAATTATCCTTCTTGCCTCTCCTTGCCTTGAACTAAGCTAAGAAAACCTTGATAATCCTTTCTTGGGCGAGCTAGACCTTCTATAGGTTAAGTGGATTTGCCCTCGAACTTCCAATTTTACCCCTGCAATTTACTCTTCCGAAACTAGGCTAGCGCAGTCGTGCTAGTGGACGCGCTAGCAGCCGCGCATATGCCCTACCATTCTGCCTCGACCATATGGGCTAGCGCGGTCGCGCTAATGGACGCGCTAGTGGCCGCGCTAGTCCAGGTTTTCATTTCATCACTTCTTTCTCTTCTCTTCCCACGTACTCAGCTCCTAGAGGCTTTTCTTGCTTCAATTTAGCTCCAATCATAGTCTTAAGTCCTCATACATGCTACGCACTCCTGCAACATGTGAAATTCACAATTTGAGTCAATTTAACATCATTTAACTATATTCTAGCATTGAAACATAATCGAGCTGGGGCATAAACAATCACCAAATTACATAAATCTAGCCCATTATCACGTTCACATGCCCTGGAGTCACCTTCCTGTTATCCTAGCTTTTCTGTTTTCTTTTAATTCAAGAACTATTGTATTTTCTTTCAGTCGATATTTGTAGTAACTCTTAGAAGTTCGTGAATTGTGACACCAGATTTTGGGTAGTCGTGTATTAGTACTTGGATTATTATGAATTTCCGCACTTCTTTACTCTGTTTTGGTTTAATTATTGTTATTTATTGATTTAGATAGTGGTTAGCCTATTAATCCTTTATCTGTTGGCTTGCCTAGTATTCTAAAAAGTTAGGTGCCATCACAATTCTCACGGTGAGAAATCCGGATCGTGACATTAAGAAAATGCCTTCTAGCGACTAGAGCATCACTATTATTGGTAGTATAACGAGTGTTGATCAACTGAAAAATGCTACGTATAATAGCTAAGTCGAACCAAAAGTAACTGCATAGAGACCAAGATGGATATTTGGAGGTTAAATACTAATTTCTTTTCTTGTGCCTTTGCTCTCTCATAATAATTCTTTGTTCCAATTCTTCAACCATTCTAGAAAACCATTGGAGACATACAACACCTCTTTTCGTGGCAATTGTGGAAGTCGTCACGGAAGGTAGCCAATGGAAATTAGGTCGTTACTTCAATTGGATACATACAACACCTCTTCTAGTCGACTATATAAGTCGCCACAAAATATTGTCAGTGAAATGAAGGGCGCTAAAGTTGCTACGGAAGGTCGTCATTGAAATTGGCGACTATCGCGCCTTTAGTGGTGACTTTAAAAAGTGGCCACAGAAGGTCGTGACTGAACTAACTATTGGCGACATATAGCAGAACATTTGGCAGCCGCTCTTGATGTCGCCACAAAAGGTTGTCAGTGCAATGTAGGGCGTTCTTACAATTGGCGACAGAACCTCATTTAGTGGCAACCTTGGTAGTCGCACAACATTTGTGGCGATTACACCAAAAACATTATTTCATCTTGTGCTCGTAGAAAATTACTCTTTAAAGTATTACTTTTCTCATAAGAAAATATTTGGCGATCCAAACTATTTTATTTTATTTTTTTTGCATATAATCTTTGTGAAAGTTTTCCGACAAGGCTTGGACCAGGTGAATGTGCGTCCGCTCATGTTGCATTATTATTAATGTTTTATTATTAGCTTTTCTGGCCATCATGATCATCACAAATATTAAATAAATGTGCCACAAAATGAATTTTGGTATATTAGCACTATTTTTGGTGACGACGCTGCCACAGATGAGATTGAGATAAACCAATGGCCAGAATATGTAGGTATTAACTTTTCTTTTTCTTCTCTATTCTCTTTGTAATCCTTCTTTCCTTTAATAACAATCACTTTTGTTGGATGATACATTCTCATACTCGTACTATAGCATAACATTCCATGCTATTACGATGGAAATTGAAGGCAATTCCAAGTCTCACCTAGTCATATTAGTCATTGATATGCTTAAGAAGATCTTTTGAGCCAAAAATTAGTACTAGTAGTTTTACATATCTTTAGCAGAAGTTGTTGAAATGTCAATCGACTTGTTAATTCAATGAAGACGCCACAACACAAAAAAGAAAATTGAAAAGGACACATAAAGTACATTATTCCACATATCAAAATGCCATGTTCTCTACATTAGTTTATGTATCTTGCATCAAATGTAATGAATTGGTAGTTGAGTAATTCAAAAAATAAAAGAGAAAGGAAAAGGTCAAACCACTCTATGGCACACTCTTAAACTCAATAAATTAGATATATATAAAGCAATGAGAATGAGATTGTTCTCATGCTTGTTTTTGTAGATCACGCTCTAAAAAAATATCGTGTAATTTTCGTGGTCTGATAAGAATTAAGGAAACAAGTAATTGAGTATCTAATAACTGCTACAACACCTGTTAGAAATGCTAAGACTTTCTTAGGTACTCCAGCAATGAAGTAGTTGCCACTTTTAGTGAGCTCTGAAAGAGGTATAATTTCGTCAAACCTACAATTGCACAAGGAGAGTAAGATGGAAGTCGCGAGACCTGTCTTTATTAGGAGATCTATCAATATCGATATTGTGCTAGCTCTTGTTGTAGCTGCCTTAGCTTCTAGTTGGTGGTTGGCTAGGACTGAAAGAATGGTCGAAGCTTCATGAAACATCAGCATTTTTAGCAGTGCTGGTATAATCCTTGCCCGAACAGCCCGACTCCTTGTTTCCTTGATATATGCACGAGTTAAACAATATTGATGCAGAATCTTTCTTCCCTCTGGTATTTCCTGTCATAAGCAAATCTTAAAAGAGGGTTATTGTTATGATATATGTCAAACATTTGTTGAGGGGCGATTAAAGCTAGGAATGAAATGCAAAAGATCCAAGTGAATGCAACTGACCTATTGTGAACACATCTACGGCTCCTACATACCCAAAAACTAATTTTGATGCAAGGTTCTTACAATTAAACTCATTATAGATTCTGATTTGTTGAAATTTTAGTGTATTCTCACAATTATATATCTTATTTTGAAAATTCGGAAAGTTATAAAGATGATAAGGTTTAATTACTTTAATGAGACATAAAGTAGTTTTGTGACTTTATCATAAAAAAGGATAAAACTCAATGACATTTTTGAAATTGAACCTATTCCTTTTAATGTATTGGTCATCCATATTAAAAGAATAAAACAAAAATAACATAATTTTAGGACTTGACCATCAAAAAAGAAATTTTCTATTTTTTAATTATACTTCCGGGATCACACAAGCCTGTTACACAAAATGCATCAAACTAAAGCAAGCCAACCGTGGGAGAAATAATTGAATTTCAAAGATCTTTGACAAATTCAAATAGGATTTTTGTCAAGAATATCACTTGCCCTCTATCGAGTAACACTCTTCAACATAATCTTAGGCCTTGTCCGTCCATTCTGTTAGTTTCAAGGAAAATAAATAGTTCGAAGTAAGAATATTATTTTAAAAAAATTGAAGTAAATTAAGAATGTTATTTTAAAAAACTTGAAGTAAATTCAGATATCAACTTCTTTTGCTCTTCTTGAAATAAAACTTACAAATCTAAAAGCTACACAAAAATGCAATAAATCACAATTTATTATTTAAAATATTTGAAAAAACGATTTTAAATTTTAACAAAAATTGCTTCTAGATATGAAGGGACGGAAAATTTTATTTTGTGTCTCATACAACTGACATTAGTTGTATGAGACATTTTTTTTGTCTCACAGTTTTGTGGATCCGAATTTTTGTGGACCCAGAAGTATAAGATTGGAGTCCACAAATTTGTGAGACAAAAAGGAGCCTAACACAACTAATGTCAGTTGTGTGAGGCACACAATAAAACTACTCTGAAGTCAGAGACAAACTTCACATAAAGAAAAGGTTGAGGGCCAATTCAACATTTAAATTACATCATAATCAGATTACCGGCATCGCCAGGGAGATTTCCCAATTCCCATAACCCGATTGAATAGTGAAGCCCTAATTCATCACTGAAACCAGTGGACCAAATGAGATTTTTTTTTTTAGTTTCAAAAGCATATTAGAGAAACCCCATATGGTTAAAGTTCATTGATTTGCAGCTTATAAAGGTGAAAAGGGTAAATCTTTGTACTCAAAACTAGCTCTTTATTTTTTTTCTCTTGCAAATTTATTTAGATTCTGATCATTGCTTCAAGTTCGAAACTTTTTGCTTTGCTGAGGTTTTTGTTTTGGCCCTTCTTGCATTTGATGAAATTCTATCGCTTAATATGCTTGTCTTCTTTGCTAATTTCCTGTTTCACAGCAAAACTAGCTAATATTATCATGAAAATGCTGTAAAAAGTTTTTTTTTTTTAACCCCATTTTTTAATTTTGTGATTCTTGATGGAAGTTGGAATCTTTATTCATTTGTTCGGGGCTCTGCTATAACACCTTATTGTGAAAATTTGATGAAATCCTATGTCTTACGCAGTTGTTATATGTTTTAATTTTATGTTTCATAATGATATGACGGGGATTGGAGACTATTCTGCTTGAAATTACCAGCATAGCTGGTCTTCTCTTATTTTTGCCGACTCACATTTAGAAATGCATTTTTTCCTATGAACGAATATTTTGTCGTTTGCCTGGTTTCTTGGTACTGGTTGCAGCGGCAGAGCCACATAGCTCCAAGTCGTCGGAAAAATACATTGTTTTGATAGGTAAAAGATATTTTTATGTATATATACTATGTATTTAATCCCCTTGATTTCTTTATGCATTTACTTCTTTAGATTTTGACTCCCCTTAGTTAAAATCCTAGCTCCGATACCGACTGTTTGTTGATTCCTATCCTGTATTTGGAATTTGGTTTTGTTCCAAGATCATGATAGCTTGAGATGTATTTACTAATAGGGAAAAAATGCCTTTAATCTTGTATTTGAAGATGCTTGGTTAATCCTCATGCTTTTGTGTCCTTTCTTATGGATTATGATTTTATGTAGTACATTTGGCCTTACTAAGTAACTCCTATTAGATTGATTTTATTTCCTGATCAGGTTTTTGGTTTTCAGTTTGTTACCCTTCTAAAAAGAAGTTTTTGAAGATCGTTGCCTTTTGTGGCTCTGTGGTTGTGTACACTACTTCATGATGGGAACTGAAGATAAAACGCTGTTTTGTTTCTGTCATTGGGGTGGAAAAAATAAGGTGCTTCCAGATGGATCCACTTCGTATGTGGGAGGTATTACTGATCAGATTATTGTGAAGACAGGCATAAAGTACAATGATTTTGTGAATGCAGTTTTTGACCGATTAGGCATTGATCCTTCTGATAAGGTCTTGCAGTTTACAGTGAAGTTTGATAGGGCCCAATTGATACGGCTGAGAGACCAAGAAGGTGTTGATACTCTGTTAGAATTTAATGATGGTTTTGCCCATGTTTATGCATCAAGTTCAGAGAAGGAGTCTAATTCTGCAGTTGCTCCTAACATGGATACCACTAGGTAATGGCCGTCTTATACCGGTCCACATGATCTTTATTATGGTAAACTTTTTGACTACCTAGAGTTTGATTGTAAATAATGTTGTATAATTTGCCACAGGGTTTCGACCACTGAGGTTGAAGCAGTCTCTCTCGGAAGTGCCGAAGAAGAACAAGTTAGTGCTGATACTCCTACTCCAACTCCTGCACCTTCCCACCAATGGATCACCGATGGAACTCCAGATGCTGCTGCCAACTGGAGTGAAATACTTGTTGGGGAAGGGCAAGCTTTTGAGAATGCGGATGCTTTTAGGCTTGCAGTTTTCAAGTATTCGATTGCGAATAAATTTCACTACAGAATTTTGCACAATAAACCCAGATACATTAGCATCCATTGTGCTGCTGATGGGTGCCCATGGAAAGTGAGTGCTGGCATCGAAAAGAAATCTCAAAATGTTTCCATTAGGAAATTTGTTGACTCTCACTCACATCCTCCTCTAGATTCATCACAGTTGAAGCCTCGGATCAGGATGAAGTGGTTGGGCGGTATCATGCAAGAAGAAATATTGGGTAGTCCTGATTGTTTGCCTCGAAAAGTGTGTGAGGATGCTGAGAAGAATTTGGCAATCAAATTGACCTACCGTCAGGCTTGGAGTGTGAAGCAGAGGATAAGGGAGGCAATTGATGAGAAGTCAGGTGAATCTTATAAATTGATTCCCTGGCTATGCAATCGCTTAATTGAGGCAATGCCCGGAACCATTGCTACATGGTCGTGCACCGAGGAGAACAGATTCAAGCGGCTGTTCGTGTCATATGACTGCTCAATACGTGGCTTCCATGTTGGATGTAGACCTTTGATCTTTATTGACGTTTACAACTTGAATGGGCTACCCAACAGCTCCTTTATAGTTGCTTCTGCTTTGGATGCAGATAATGAGATGTATCCTCTATCTTATGGCATTCTCCTGTCCATGAATGAGGATGATCTTCTATGGTTTCTAGAAAAGCTAAAGCTTGTTGTGCAAAATCGCGAGGTCGTCATAGTTTCTGGCGCAAGTCTCCCTTTTCTCTCCAGCTTGGACAAAATGTTTGGTGATGAAAACCACAGCTTTTGTTTTCATTGTGTAAAAGAGAATTTCACTAAATTCGTTGATGGTAATACTGCCTTTAAAGTGCAAGGGAAAGGTAAGGAGATTGCACTGAAGTACTTGACTGACATTGCCTATGCACGAACACTAGATATTTATAATGAAACTCTAGGCAAGATCTGTTCTTTCCGCAGGGAGTTGTATGATTGGGTAATAGCTAGCCAGCCAGAGCGTTGGTCTAATGCCTTGTTCAGGAAACCTCGGTGGGATCAGCTGAATTGTAATTCTATGGATGCTCTAAACTCTTTTATAGAGGAGGAGAAGTTTGTACATGTCCTAGAGTTGATGGAGGCTTATCATGAGAAGCTTTATATGTTATTACAGAAAAACAAGCTCAAAATCGAACAATGGAACCTTCCGATTGGTCCTCGGGTCGCTGAAAAGATTTTTGAAAATCAAAAGGTCGGGGATAACCTAGCGGTGACGGTTTTATCTGATATCGAGTTCAAACTACGAGAGCTACAGGGCAGAGAAGAAGTTGTAAATCTCAAACTCTGGACATGTACATGTTTAGAGTGGCAAATGACAGGCATACCATGCAGCCATGCATGTAGTGCAATTACATTGGCGGAGATGAACATTTTCCAGTATGTAGCTGATTGGTACAAGAGGGAGACACAGGAACATATATATGCTGAAGTTATGGATGAACTAGCAAAATTTGATATACCACATCCAGATGATATCGTTTCTTCGGCTTCTTCAGGTAATGATGTAGTGTTGTGTCCACTTTCACCACATATTAAAAGACCTCCTGGTCGTCCCCGGAAAGAACCCAAAGGACCCCAAGTTGAAACTGTAAAAAGACCCATACGCTGTTCTAAGTGTGGTGGTGTTGGACATAATAAACGTACTAAATGCAGTTCTGTAGCACAGTAAATTATTGTTCAAGGTATGAACAATTTTATCAGTGAACCCTTTCTCCAGTTTATGCTTTCAGTGCACAGGGTTTATAACTGAACTATATGCCCTTCAATGGGGTCGTACAGATTAAGTTACGATGACTCTGGATTCTCGTGAGACATACTAATGAGCGTAGCAGTACCTCGCAATAACTGCTGTAAAATTTTGAGTCCACGTGTGTGAGCACGCTCGCACAGCTGGTCTCAAGTTCGGGTAACGGAAAGTCATGCTGGACTGAAGGCAGCCTAAAACCAGACAATTTATGATAAATCCTCGCAATACATCGTACATAGATGGGATGTGCTAACCTAGGCACATTTTTGTGCCAGTAGAAGATATTGAGACCTTTTAGTTCTTTTTATTTTTATTTTGTATAATATTGGCCTAAGGTGAGTTTCAATGGAGTGGCATGAGAAGTGAGAATTCATAAAGTTGACCCTTTAACCTCTTCGCAATTGAAGTATTTGTGGTATTTGAGGTAGGGTTCTCTATAATGCAGTTTGCTCATATATCATTTTCAGTGACAGACCCAGAATTTTATGCAAGCTGGTTCAATCTTAGAAGTACATAACTTTAGTCTTAAAATAGTAGTTGTCAAGTGGGTTCAAATAAAATATTTATACAAAATTTACGCAGCTTTAATCGTAATTTATACATATACACAATATTATTTTTTCATGAAGCGGGTTCAGTTGAACCCGCTTGCCACTACGCGCGTCCGCCACTATCAGCTACATGTATTCTTTCTAAGCACGTATATCTTGGTTAGAAGGAAGTTATCAAGATTTGCTAACCAGTTATTTGATATGAAACAAGGCTTGGTAAATTCTGGATAATTGCCACCAGAATCAAGAGACTGCAGATACTGTTATTTGGTGAATTTAATAGATTAAGTTCTAAATTTTGACAAAATATAATAGGTCAGGTTGAACTTACCAAATTTCTTAGTTATTTTAGTATATGTTGAGCGTGAAATGGGGATTTATATTCAGATCCAATATGTACCAAATAGCTGGTAAAAAAGACCATTAGGATGTATTTGCAGGAAGAAAAGTGAGAATGACATTTTCTTACCCTCTCAACCAAAGTAGTTGTAGTCTCTTCCATACACAATTTCCTATTAGTAACAACATCAACAACAGAATAATAACGATAACAACAATAATAATAACAACAGAAGTTAACCAAGGCACCGTCACCTATAGGCAAAAACATTGGGATTTTGGGGCTAGTAGGAGTTATCCTCAATAAAAATATGAGGAGATATTTGACTAATTTGCAATTTAGATATAACAAGAAAGGAATTAAAGATAAATGTGTACAAATTATTTGTTGAGTCCTATCATTTTCTCAACTTTCGACATGTTCAAGTCATGAATCGGGTAGTATTGGTGTTACTGGAGACTCTTTCTCTCTAAGTGCTCTCAGCTCACGTTAGTTAACATGCGCTGAATCTGGTCATCCATGGTGAGAGGGAGGGGAAGAGGACGAGGAAGGCCCAAAAAAATCGTAATTACTAGCACAGAAAGATCTACTAGCTCACACAGTAAAACAACAGAAAGGGAGAATGATCTGCAAACACCAGATCTGGAACTAAACTCGGACACTAGATCTCAATGGAAGAACACTGGGGGATGCATCTAGCTCAGGAATTTCGAAGAAGCTAGATCTCACAACACCTCCAGCAACTGCATCAAAAGTGCAATTGGAGGAAAAAAAAAAGGACCGTGGTCTGCATGCTACAGTAGCTAATGCAACAGTAACAATTGAGGAGGAAGAACAAGGAGTGATGAATCCTGCCTTGGCGGCAAAAGCTGTAGACCCTAAACCGTGGTCTAACCTATTTCAGAAGAACAGATCTACAGCAAATGGTATGTCTCTATCATATATTCCCCCGGAAATTGTCAATGGCCAAGTAGTTGTTCAGTTGGACAAGGAAGAGGTTGAATCTAAGACTGAGAAGTGGAAATGTGCTTTAATTGCTTACATCTTAGGGGATACCCCAGGATATAATACTATGAAGAGATATATAAATGTCAATTGGGCAAGTGTGAGGGAACCAAATGTATTTCTCCATGAGGAAGGTTACTACATCATCAGATTCCATTCGGAGTCTGATATGAAAGAGATTTACTATTCTGGACCTTATACAATCAATAATAGGCCTATAATTGTGAAGCCTTGGACCTCAGACTTTGATTTTAAAGAGGAATTTCCCACTGAAATTCCCCGGTGGGTTAATTTTCCAAAATTACCTTTGAACTATTGGGGAGTTAATTCATTGAGTAGAATAGCAAGTGCAATTGGAACTCCTATTTTTGTTGATGAATGCACAACTAAAAAACCAGAATCTCATATGCCAGAATGTTGATAGAGGTTAATGTGACTAGACCTTTGTGTGATGAAGTCTGGGTTAGACATCCAAAGGGTAAACAATTCGTGCAAGATGTCTACTATGAGTGGAAGCCCAAATTCTGTGAGCATTGTCAAAAGGTTGGCCATTCATGTGCTCCTCATGGTACTGGTAATAAACAGGAGGTTAAGCAACAGATTAATCAAAAAGGGAAAGCAAGGGAAACTAAGAAAGTGACTATGGAATGGAGAACAAAAGGCAAGGTACAACAAAGTGATGCTCTACCTGCACATCCTATACCAGCTAACCAACAGAGACAGCAACAGACAACAGAGGTTCAACAAATGTCAAACATTTCAACAAGCTCCAGGCCTGAAAGTAGTCAAGGACAACATGAGTCTGTACCCCCAAGTAGTCCAAATAAGATTATGTTGAGTAATAACAATTGAGGGAAGCAAATGGAGAGCAGCCCTGAGTTTAATTTGACAAATTTTCCTTTGTTGTCTGCTGTAAAACTGAGAAATCCTTTTGGGGTACTACCATGTGGGACTGGGGATGTGCAACAACTACCCCTTGACAGGGGAGGAGGACACTTAACATGCTAATTCATTGGCTATTCTGGAATGTGCGGGGAGTCAATTAGAGGTATAAACAGAAGGAATTGGCTAACTACATCAAAAACAAAAATGTCAAGATAGCTGGCCTAATGGAAACCAGAGTGAAAGAGCACAATTTCAAGAGAATTACCAAAGCTATTACTCCAGATTGGGAAGGGATAAACAACTACCAATATGCTCAGAATGGTAGGGTATGGGTATTAGGGGATCCCAGATGGTATAGTGTGAAGTTAATCAAAGTCGGGGCTCAATATGTTCATTGTCAACTTACAGACAATTTAGGGAAGATAGACTGCTTAATAATAGTAGTCTATGGACACAATACAATTGAGCAAAGGAAAGCATTATGGGCAGATATACATAACTTGGCTGCAAACATAACCACTCTTTGGCTAATTGGAGGAGATTTCAATACAGTTCTATATTCTCAAGATAGACTAATGGGCAATCCTATAACATATTCTGAAACTCAAGACTTTGCCAGCTGCATTCAAACTCTGCAGTTGAATGAATTGCTATGGAAGGGTGATTACTACACTTGGTCGAACAAGCAAGATGAAACTGATAGAATCAGAAGCAGAATAGATAGGATGTTTGGAAATTTTGAATGGATGATACAATGGGGACAGGTACAAAATGAATATGATTTGCCTCAAATATCTGATCATTCACCTATGCTTCTTTCAATTTCCATGAATTCAAGGCCTGGCAAAATCCCATTCAGATTTCTAAATGTTTGGGCAGACCATGGCAGTTTTGTACAAATAGTGCAGGAAGTATGGGAGCAGAATGTGACAAATTGGAGAATGAAGAATATAAGGTTGAAGTTGAAAGCCTTGAAACCTAGACTTAAGACTTTAAATAATGAGGTGTTTAGATCTATTACTGACAAGATTGACAAGGCTCGTGGAGAACTTCAAGATATACAAGAGAAGATTACCACAAACTATACTGATGGCCTACTGGAGCAAGAGAAAACTGTCCTTCACCAGCTGGAAAAATGGTCACTTATAAAGGAAAGTGTCCTAAAACAAAAATCAAGAGCAAGGTGGATTAAGCTTGGGGATTCCAATTCCAAGTACTTTTCTGCTATGCTAAAGAAGAGGAATCAAAGGAAGCAGATTAAGGAACTCACATCCCTTGATGGGAAGAAGCTCAATGATGCTGATAAGATCAAGCATGAAATTATAGAGTTCTACAAATCACTGATGGGGACTGCAGCACCAAATCTACCTGCAATAAATAGAAAGATCATGAAGCAAGGACTTATGTTATCCCAACAGTAAAGAAGGCAGCTAGTTGCAGAAATCTCTGATCAAGAGATCTTTGAAGGACTGTAGAATATTAGGGATGACAAATCACTAGGAGTATATGGTTTCAATGCATGCTTTTTCAAGAAAATATGGCCTATTATGAAAGAGGAGATCTGTGCAGCTGTTAAAGAATTCTTCACTACTGGTAAATTGTATAAGGCTCTTAATTGCACTACCCTTACACTAATACCAAAAGTGGACAAACCAGTCACAGTGAAAGACTTTAGACCCATTGCTTGTTGTACTCTGCTTTATAAGATGATCTCTAAGGTATTAGCAGCAAGACTACAGAAGGTTATTGCTAGCATCATTAGTGAGAATCAAGCAGGATTTATACATCGGAGGAGAATTGCAGACAATATCATATTGGCATATGAATTGGTTAAAGCTTACACAAGGAAGCACATCTCAGATAGATGTATGATTAAGATAGATTTACAGAAAGCTTATGATTCAGTGGAGTGGATCTACTTGGAGCAGGTAATGGAGAATTTGGATTTTCCTACTCAATTCACTAGCTGGATTATGGAGTGTGTCAAAACAGTCAATTATACCATCTTGATAAATGGAGAGACTACTACCCCTTTTGATGCAAAAAAGGGCTTAGGCAAGGGGATCTTATGCCACCCTTCCTATTTGCTATTGCAATGGAATATCTAAGTAGGAGTCTACATGGCCTAAAAGAGGACAAAGATTTCAGATACCATCCAAAATGTGCTAAACTTGGTATTACACACTTAAGTTTTGCTGATGACTTATTGTTATTTGTAAGAGGAGACTTATCATCAGTGAAGTCCATGCACAGATGCTTCAAACAGTTTACTCAAGCTTCAGGGTTACAAGCAAATATGGGGAAGAGTTCAGTGTATTTTGGAGGGGTACCAAGAGATGAACGAGATAAAATCCTGCAGCTTCTGGGATATGGACAAGGGGATATGCCTTTCAAATATTTAGGTATTCCCCTATCAACAAAAAAGATATCAATGATCCAATGGCAGCCACTCATTCAGAAAATAGTAGCAAGGATATCTTCATGGACAGCTAAGAAACTATCTTATGCAGGAAGAGTACAACTAGTACAAAGTGTAATTTTTGGAGTACAAGCATACTGGGCTCAGCTCCTACCTCTACCTGTTAAGGTGCTTAAAACCATTGATGCATATTGTCGAAGCTATATCTGATCTGCAACCAATACCATAACTAAGAAGGCATTGATATCCTGGGAAAACGTGTGCTCTCCTAAATCTTGTGGAGGCCTAAACTTGGTGAACATCCATCTATGGAATAGGGCTGCTATTTCAAAAATATGTTGGGATGTGGAAGCAAAGCAAGATAGATTGTGGATTAAATGGATTCACTCTTATTATATCAAAGGGCAGCAATTCATGCAAATGCCAGCTCCCAAGCAAGCCTGTTGGATGATCAGACAAATCTTCAATGCTAGAACTGATTGTAGTCTGGTACATAGGAACAAACAGGATACTAGTGTAACTAGACACATATACCTTCAGCTACTGGGACAACAAACTTGAGTGTCGTGGAAGTGTCTAATGTTTCAGAATTGCGCGAGGCCAAAAGCACAATATACTATGTGGATGCTATTACATGGAAGACTCCCAACCACAGATAGACTGGCAAAATGGGGCTTGGCAGTAGATACACAATGCACTCTATGTCACAACCATGAGGAAAATAAAGACCATCTGTTTGTCACGTGTGAATATACTAGGAACCTATGGATAAAGCTTATGCAATGGATGCAGCATGATTATACAAGACGCAGAACTGGGAGCAGCATATGGGCAGGAGCTTGCATCATGCTAAAGGCAAGACCACAAGAGCAAGAATATTCAGACTGGTATATGCAGAAATAGTACACGCTATTTGGATTGAGAGAAATTTGAGAATTTTTTAGAAAAGGACACGTGTTTGGAATAGTATTGCCTATGAGATAGCATACACATGTAATGTTAGAGCTACTGCTAGTATTCAAAGTATAGTTCATAGTTATATTTTCCTTTGAATGTATAGAAGAGTGTAGGACATAGCAGATGGAGTTTTGTAATGAGATAGCTAGCTGTGTAAGCGATGCTATGGTTTTGTACAGTTTTACGGGTGATTAATATAAAAGTGATTAATTACCAAAAAAAAGTCATGAATCACAATACAATGATGGGAATAAGGCTGTATTGTGGTTCGGTCCCGAGCCTAAATGGGCTAAACGGGCCAGGCAAAACGGTCCCGGGATCAAGCGATCCCGGGACAAACGGTCCCGGGCTTAACGGTCCTGGAGGGTGGAACCGGCACATTGTGGACCTAAGCCCACATGGTCCCGGGCTAAATGGGACGGGTGTTGATACCCAATTTTTTCCTACATATTTTTATGCACAAAATGCTTTCAAAATAACATGTATATGCATATATAAGCATGCCCAAGCGTTTTGGTATTTTTTTCCTAATTTTTTTTAAAGATTTTAAAATCGATTTATTGTCCATTTTTTGCAGTACAAAACCCAATAATTATTCCCAAAATTATCATTTTGGTGAATAATTTATTTCTATTCTAATATTTACACCAAAATATAATTAAGGTGATTTTTGTATATTTTTACAAATTTATTTGGTATTTTTAAAGCTAAATTGCATATAATTGCAATTATAGCCTATTTTTACGGTTAACAGCATTTTACAGTATAAAATTGTTTCCAGTATTTTTAGATTAATATTTATGCATTGTTAGTTGGGTCAGTACTTTTAATTTGTTTTTAACATCTTTTTTACTATTTTATAAAATAAAAAGGGATAAAATTGGCTATTTAACACATAGCCCATTTCTATTTCAATTATAGCCTTATTTCTTTTCAATTTTAACCTCAATTTGACCCAATTCCGCCCAAATTAAAACCAATCCAATTTTAACCCAACCCACGACCCGACTTTAAATAAACCAACTCGTTCCCCACCTACCACTTAAATCTGGACCGTTGATCACTCAAGATCAACGGCCAAAACTAGCCCTTTCCTTTTTAACTCCTAAACGACTACCCTAATCTCCCTCATTCTCACCTGACCTACTGCCTTGAAACCCATCGTCTCTCAAAATACTCTCAAGCTCTCCGAAGCCCTAATCATCTCCCACCTGTTTCTACCATGTTTCCACTGGAATCCATGGCATTCCAGGCCATGGATGACCTTATGCTTACCCTATCTTACCATTAAACCTAAGATACTCGAGGTTCTGAAGTGCGACTCTGATGGCTCTCTTCAGACCCTCTCAAGATCTGTAGAGCTATGGCGGCTCCGGCCATTTTCCGGCATTTTTCAAGCAATATGAGTCTTTTCGACTCAGGATCCGACTTTCCTCGAGACCTTTCTCATTCTAGGGTTTTCTCTACAACTCTAAGTCGTCTGAGGTTCTGTACTTGCTTATTTCTTTTAGATCTGTGACATGCCTGAGCGTTATTTGACGTTTCAAACGTTTTCCCCAAATTTCCTCTTTAAAATCGTTAAATCTCAATTTTAGGGTTTCGGAAAAGGTTTCTTCAAATATTCTTGATTCTTCTCTCTTCATGTGTGTTTATCTATGCCTTCTTTTCTACTATGCTTGAGTTTGCTCTCTTGTTTCTTTTCTGTTATGCAAGACTTTTCTGTTCTTTGCTATTACTCCCATGCTCGCATAGTTAATTTGTGATGTTTTCTTTACTCTTTGCTATATGTGTTTATGGTTGAGTTCTTTGATTTTGCTCACTTTACTAAGTTCTGTTCGTGTTCCTACTACATATTTTTTTCCTCTACTGTTGTTTAAAAACTCGTATCATCTCATGGTCTCATGACCTTGAATCAGTGTTCTTTTATTATGTATGCTTGTCTCTCATAGGTCTTTAAAAAAAGACTTCTGAGCCTCTTTCAATGACCTCGTTTTCTCACCTCTATGTCTGACTCTATTCGAGGCCCTAGGTCTTGGGGTTTTCTTTGACAAGTGGTGTCACGCCTCCTTTTTCACCCTACACCCCTGTGAAGGGATGTAAAGGGAGTTTTCCCAATTAAAGGACAATCGAAACGGGATTTATTATTTGATTCAGAGTCGCCACTTGGGAGATTTATGGTGTCCCAAGTCACCGGTTGAATCCTGAATCGAGGAAAAGATTAACTCTGTTTAACAGTCTGCGCACCAGAAATCCGGATAAGGAATTCTGTTAACCCGGGAGAAGGTGTTAGGCATTCCCGAGTTTCGTGGTTCTAGCACGGTCGCTCAACTGTCATATTCGGCATAATTATCTGATTTTTATACAATTATGAACCTATGTGCAAATTTTAACTTTTAACCGCTTTTATTATTATCATTATTATTTTAATGAGAATTGCAACGTCGTGAAAACGTATCTCGAACCACGTCACATCAATGTACCCGTGGTTATCGACACATTTCAACTCCGGTGAGATTTGGATTTGGGTCACATAAATGTGCACCCGGGTTTAAGAAGGTAATTTTATTTAAAGTACGTGCCTAAANAAGGGCAAACCTAAAGCAATCTATAATTTTCTACTTTATTTGTCTCTAAAAAAAAGAAGAGGAAAAGTCCTAATTAATTAACGTTACAAAATCGGGCCTCATAGTTCAAGTCCGGATCCAAATGAAAGGACGAACCTTTTAATTTGAATCCACTACCTAACTTAAAAGCCCAGTCCATCCTTAAATGCTAACATGCCATATCAGTCTTGGGCCCAAAGAGCCAAAGCCATAAAATTCGTGCAGGCCAACTGTGAATTTTCAGTGGGCCTAGGACTAGCCTAGTTCAAATGAACAGGATCAGGCCGAGAAGATCGCGGGATAAGCATTTGCACACCACAATTATTCCAACTCTCCAGACTGTGTTTACCAAATAGTAATAAAATACTACGACGTACGCTCGTTCAAATTGACTACTTATTCATATCCAATTATCATGACCAATTTGTTTAGTCAGTGCTAA